TAGTCAGTTTTAAAAAATCACTAATAATTACTGAATGTATCGCAATATATCATGATAAATTGTGCCATCTCCTCGTATCGTGATACGTATCATATCGGCAAAATTCCACCAAAGGACATTCCTAATAAACATAAGTGTTTTGTTATTTAGTACATTAGATGGTTTTTCTAATTGTTGGGAGATGAAATTAAACAGAAAAGCAAACTGTTATCATTTGCACATACCCGGTAATTTAAAGCTTTTTACAGGGTATCCGCGGGTCCTTAAAAAGTCTTAAATTTGCTTTTCCAAATTTAAGGCCTTAAAAATCCTTAAAAATGACAAATAATTCTTAAATACAGTTTCCAAAGGTCTTAAATTACCAAAGACCCAATAAACAAGATTATTTTATTTCTATACAATTTTTGTGAATTTCTAGTTCAGGATTTTTTGTATATGATGTTGGCGTAAGCGGAACTGTACACATACGGTTGGTTGTGAAAGGGGGCTATTTTTAGAGGAGCATGCTAGTGGGAGCTTGCGCCATGGGGAAGTGCAACATTAATGGTAACTGGATGGCTAATCCCACGTTCACGATGTGGTTAGCACCGGTTCCAGGCAATAGCTGGAAATTATAACTTAAATTTAATTTTAAAAAATAGCTTAAATTTGGTCAAAGTGGACTTAAAAAAGGTCTTAAAAAGTCTTAAATTTGGCTCCCTTAAACCTGCAGATACCCTGTTTTTAAGATTCCTTTTTATTTGAAACTTTAGACAGGTACTTTCCAATTCAATGAAAAGATTTTTGGTGGCATATAATTTATGCAAATAGCACCTTCCAGCTACCAGGAGGCAAATCAAAGTGCTGTACACGCATAAGAAAACATTGCTGACCCATACGAAGGCTTACAAAACAAACATAAATAGGTGTAAAACAAATAAAAGCAGGAGATAAGAGCAAAGAATGTTAGTAAAAGAACAAGATAACATAAGTTAAATACAACTGGATAAAAATGAGCTAAATTATCTAAAAATATGGCTAGCTCATGTGGTCAGGGAAAGCCAATGTTTAAAACAATCTATATTTAACTGAGGAATGACCTCCTGCCGACACTCACTTGATCGTATATTTAGTGATTTTAAAGTATTTGTGTTCTTTTTAAATCTGAATCTTTAAGTGATTGTTGAGTGAAGCTGCACAGGGTTGCGTTAGGTCACTGCCAGCCTTGTTTATGCAGCCCAAGCATATGAGGCCTTCATAGATTCTCTTATGCATGCAAATCAGCCTTGTGAAGCATGTTAAAACTTACAGGTTAGAACTTGTTAGCTGTTCTTTTTCCGCTCCTGTCCCTGGTATTGTGATGGTTACTAAAAACAAACAGGTGACAGACAGTAAGTGTTTTCACCTCGACAGTTAACTACAGGTAAGGGCTTGTGTTGTTCTCATTTTTCATATTTGAGCATTTGTTACTTTACTGGCCTGCTGCTGCCACTGTACTGGAAACCTTTCTACAACATGCTCCTATCACAGGGTAAATATTAACCCAGCACCTGCTTGGTGTTGATTTGCAGAATTGAGTAAATGTTAGCTTAGTTTGGCAAACTGCACTCTGTGTGCATTGCTGCTTTGCTTTTGAGGCAGTTTTTCTTCAGATTACTATCTTTAACTGTTCAACTTCCTTCTTTTTGGTTCCTTTTAGTAACATTTAACTTGAGAAAATATACATGAATATTGCATTTATTTAGGTAAAGTCTGCATTATTTTGATAAGAGTTCAGATGATTACCGATGCAGCAAGCTTAAATTGTAAACATAGACAAAACTGCACTTTGCTAAACATTTATATCTTGTTTACACCATGAGTGGGAAGTATTTAGAAATGTTTAGATTTTTTTTTGTCAACCATTCATAGGAATTTTTATTTGCTCAAGTAAATTTAACACTAGCAAAGCTCTCTTGAAACGCTCTCTGGAAAAAGTGCAGCTCACCCCTTCACTTCCAAAATTGCTTCCACCACTCATTCACACAGAGCTTTACTCAGCTTTGACTCGTCACTGTGTTTACCCTCTCCTCCACTGTAGTAAGAGTATAACTGAAGTGTTTTTTTATCCTTGTGAACTGCCTAATATCTGTTGCTAAGATTAGCCAGGTTTCTGCTGCTGTGTTTGTCTAAATAAAAGGATAAAGTAAATAGGAGTAAATTTTAAAACAACTTCCACTAATGCACTTACTTTTCAAAGAAAAAAAAAAAAATATATATATTTTTTTTTTCTGCACAAATCTGACTTGGTATTTTGCACACGATGACTGACCAAATCTCCAGAGATCAGAGAGCTATTCCTGAGGAAGAGTCTCCTTCATTCTTCTATTTTGGATCCACTTAATCCTCCTCAACAATTTTTTATAATTAGGACTGCTTCTTCCACTTTATTGCAACCACAGGCAACGTGACCCATACTGCCACCTCCTGGTGGCAGTGAACAGCCTGGCTGGTTTGTATACCTCAAACTACTTAATAACAGTGAGAGATCTTTTATTTATTTATTTATTTGCATCTTTTCTAATCCCCACTGCCACATTATTCAAATAAAACACACACTTCTGTATTTGCTTAACAGCTAAGCCCATGCACATAAACACACTGTTTGTGCCACACCTGTGTTCAGCCTGGCTTTGTCATATTCCCACCCTTTCTGTCAGGTTATCCGCTCATGTGCACATAAGCTGGGACTGCTTTATCCTGTCAGTCTGCATGTGCACCCACATGTTGACCTGACTAAGGATGTCTGTTGCAAATGGTATCAGATCTATGTGTCAGTTCTTGGATGTCTGTGCACCCATTGTGCTACTCTTGTGTAATGGTGAAGCTTCAAGCTATTTTTCATGCAGCTCGCACCTCATGCAGGGTTCACTGTAGTACACATGCACGTATGCACTGCAGCAATAGAGAGCTATTTATAGACCTGCCCTATAAAGGCAAATGAAGGTCTGTTTAAAATGTCCCTGTCCATTTAGTGTGTTTTTCAGAGCCGACTGAAAAAGACAAACAGTCCTGAATAGGAAAGTAAAAACACAACTGAAGACATTACACGATCAGAAATGATGAGGATGTTGAAAGAATGAGTCACCCAGGCAAAGTAGACAACTGAGAAAGGGAGGGAGTGGTATGATCAGGACATGACTGTGCTTTTGTGTCTTTAATTTGTGCATGGATGTACTTGTAGAGGGAGGGCACACTTATTAAAAAACAGCTCTTCATGTAGTTTTAAATCTCCTGGTTTTAGTCCCTGCTTCGATGAACTGCATTTGTCTTTTTTGAAAAAACAAAAAGAAAAGATGAATCAGTCTGTGGAGACACTTTATGAATAAAAATGATGCAAGGAATTTCTTGGATGTTGTAATAGAGAAGGAGTGCCGAGCTGCTCTGTAGGCTGGGAGTCAGAGGGAGAATAAATGATGATATTGATCTGAACAGAGCTTGGCTGTGCAGACAGGCTATGGTTGTAACTGCCATGCTAAATTAACCCACAGTTTTTCCATTGGTTCTGATTCACTGTAATCAGCTCAGCTCTCATTAGAACAAGTATAATGGTCTGTCTGGGGACAGCTGGGACCTTCAGCAGTTGTTAACATCACACTATGAATAGTTTGTAGCTTGTCAATGTTTGTCAACCTTGTGCGTGCGTGTGTGTGTGTGTGCGACTGTGCGTGCATGCGTGAAGTACGGCCCATAATTTACATCATGAAGCTCTAGATAACAGTTTAAAACCTTGAACATCTGCATTTCATTGCTTTTCATGTCCTTACAATGTGTAAATGAGCTTTTTATGAATATTATGCTGGAAGTGAATTTCTAAGAGGACACCATCTAGAGGCAGAAAAATGTATCGCACATTTAGCCCCTCTCCCTACTTCTGTGATTACAACCGGAAGCAACTCTAGTCGGCCAACAGAGCTAAAACACATTGGTTTACAATTATTACTCTCACTTCATGCTGTTTATTCATATAGATAAAAAATTTTAATCACAATAATTTGCATTAATGGCAATTTTTTGTTTATTGTACTTATAATATTGTCTTATTCTAAATATTGAGTGGACAAAAATACTTTTTTATGAAAGTATATTTATTATAACTGGAGCACTGACTACGGAATGCCAGGAGGACCAAAGGGCACTCTGAAAACCTGTGTTAATTGCACATTTATATAATCAATGCCGTTAAAGGGGGCTTTGCATTAATGCATTACAATGTGTTAACTTTGACAGCCCTTATATATGTACTTTATTTATTTTTAATGACTTACTTGTTCATAAGAAATGTCGCCAGCTCTGCATCAGTCTAGGCATGTTTACAAATGCACTCACGCACACTAACGCTATTAGCTAATGCTGATTCGCACTCAGATCAAATTGCATTGGGCTTTATGTGACGGGACACAAACATACCAAAATAAAAATTGATGTATTGCTTTTATGGATTTCTAAAAAATCATTCATAATTTCTGAAAGGGGGAAAACTCCTCATTGCAGCTTTAAAAGGACAACTGAAGAAATTTTGTGTGTGAAGCAGAAAAGGCCACAGAAGAATCGTCACAGTTATGTTTGGGGTCATTTTGGACGGTGAATCTCTGTGGACAGGCTAGCTAAAGTCAGTTGGAGCCTCTGTGTGTCACATAGCGTGACAATGTGCAGTCTGAACTGCTTGTCACCGCCATGCTCTGTGCTGTTATGCGGACAAGCTGATGTCTTTGTACAGTTATGCTTTGTTGGTGTTTGAGAATGGTGGAAGGGTGAACGCTCAGAAGCAGATTTGCACAAAAAGAGGGAGAAAGTCTGTGCTGGAGAGAGAGATTAAAATATTTAAAAGAAGAGGAGCTACAGAGACTCAGTTATTTGGTTCTAATATTAGATGAACAAACATGCAGGTGCACTCACTAGGAACACGCCGTTCTCTCATGTTTTCACTTTCCGCATTTCATTTTCCTTGTCTTTCTCTTGTGCTTTCTCTCCAAAATAAGGACGAGCAACTTGTCAGGATGAAGGAGGAGAGTTTGTTCCATCGGAGGCTTTCGCTTAGCACCAGTGCCACCTCTCCACCTCAAATAGACCCTCGCAGCCTCAGCCGAAACCTGTCTTATGGAGGAGACAACGACATCTACAACCACAGTCCAAGTGAGAAGTTTAGATGTCAAAGTGACATAACGTACGGTGATTTTCCAGAAATTAATACCAGTGGCAAATATGTCATAATGTGCTGTAAAATACCGAAAATACTTATCTGATGCTTGTTTGCACCTTTTGTGGCTGCCATATTTTTTTTGTCTGCAAGTTTAATCACGGAGCGCATTTGTTTGTGACTGTGTGTTGTGGGTTCCCACCAGGCAGTGAGACAGACAGGAACGCTCTCTCCATGCTGAGTAATGAATTTAGTCCTGCCCAATCGCCAGACAGCAAGGTAAGAACACAGTTCCTGATTGGGCAGTTCCTCAACAGATGACAATAAATCACTCATTTGATGAGCTCACAGCACTTCCTTTTGCTTTCTGTGATAATTTTTCCCAACTTTTTAGAAATTCTGATCTTACACAATAGGGCTGCACGATATTAGGAAAACCTGCAATATTCGATAACAGTGCTTAATATTGCGATATCGATATTACTCACGATAAATGAACAAATACTAAAGTATGCAGTGTTGATGTTGTCTGGCGTGTGATGTCTGCTCTGGGTTCAAAGCAAACAAAAACTAATGCATGAATTCCATTACAACATAACTTTTTTATTGCAAAAATATGCAGCTGCACCTGCTACTGTATTAGCAGCTGCACCTGCTACTGTATTAGCAGCTGCACCTGCTACTGTATTAGCAGCTGCACCTGCTACTGTATTAGCAGCTGCACCTGCTACTGTATTAGCAGCAAAACAACAAACTGCATGCATGTAGTTTCTCAGTGACTTTAAAACATCACCACCACCATAAAACTTTTTCTGATGCTCCAAATACAGAAAAACATCCCTTACCAGGGTTTTTTTTTTTGAATAAATAAAAATATCTGAAAATAAGTTTAAATGTTAAATAATAGTTAACATCACTTAAATGCAACAGCAAATTCTCTCATTGCTACTGAACATTTTCTCCACTTATGTGGTTATGATAGAAGGCTGTTGCTGTAATTGGGAAGTGAACTGTGATGGGCCAAACTAGGAGAATATTAAGATTTTCTGAGGGAAAGAGAAAAACAATTGTCTCCCTTTCAGTAGAGGAACTGGCAAAAAACTACATGGAAAATATGTGAAAACGTTTGTTTTTAACCCCAAATTGAACAAGTTTACCTGGATCTTAAAAAGCAGCTCAGATGATGAAACTGCAACTATGATTCTGATAACAAGCTAACAAATTGAACTAGCTCCTCTTAAGATAGCCGGCTAGCAGAGCTTCTGACTGACAGTTTATGTGCAGCAGCAAATCAACTATCCTGATTAACAAGGTTAAAAAAGCTCATAAATGAAAAATCACTTTGATGTGTGGGGGAACTTTTCCAGGCCCTCTGTAGCAGGGTGGGACTGGGAGGAGAGTGCTGTAGCCTTTTAGCTGGAACTAACCGGAGCCACCACCCGGTGGAACACTAGCGACATGGAGGGAGGTGGGTTGGTTCACCGGCACGTGTCGGAGTCAGCCCGGTAAAAATGATTAATGACACAGAGCGGACTCGCATTCACGTTTGAAAGCAGCGCTGAATCCAGAAACATCAGCACAAAGTGCGTTCGTTGCTCTGAGCCAGCATGACGAACAAGGGAATGGCGCCGCTAACTCAGTTCGGGTGTTGCTTTCCATCCAAAGGGTCTACGTAGGGGGTGGGCGTATTACGTGAACGGACCCATCTGATTGGCCGCATATCAGAAGGGCTACATTTGATTGGTCAAATAATACTTCCGCGTAAAAAACAGCTGGTTTACAAAAAGGTGATGTATGACACGGATGGAAATGTTTGAACCAAACATTTATCGCCGTTTTTGACGTGCTTTGCGATGGGCCTATCGCACGTCCTGTTATCGCGATGACGATAATTTTTCGATATATTGTGCAGCCCTATTACACAAGAATGGTAAACCGCCAAACTTTTTTAGTAAATTACCCTGAAGGTAAAAACGGACTTGTTTGGTGAAAGTTGTATTAAAGCTGTTTTTTATACACCAAGGCCATGGTGGGAACAATGAGGCTTTTTAGGTAGTACAAATTAAGTATAGTATAAAAAATAAAACCTAGGAAATCTCATCTTGTCTTGTTCCCTCCCCACTTGTCGCTTCACCCCACTCAGTCACATAGTTTTGCTTTAAGAATCTGCATCTTTTGCCCTCTTTGCTTCTTTGAAGAACAGTTTAAGACTGAGAACAGCTCAGCCTATGCATGCCTTTGCTTACATAAGAAGGTAATGTTGTGATGTGCTTTAAGATTAGAGTTTCAAAGAGATTGTTCTAATTTTAGTGCATTTAAATAAGTGATTGTTTAGTTTAAAATGTTAGATTGATTTTACTGTTAAGCAGAGTTTTTTTAAAGCAAATCCATTTTTTCCCTCGCTTTCCTTTCTTAAACAGAATTCATGAATGATGAAATATGTTTTCGGAACTTGCTTTTATATAAATCTTCCCTTTAGAATCAGAAGTCCAACAAAATTTTGAAAGATTAAGCATTACATTTTGCATTCTGGTGCATTTTAGACTGAAATGTTGCCTGCCAGTCAAAATTGTTTTTACAATCGGTTCTAATTAGGAGGTGTATCAGCCAATGCTGATACATTAAAAAAAGAAATTTGCAAATATTAGCTGGTCTATTCCTAAAACTGCTAAATCACCAATACACATGATCAATTGTATTCAACTGAATTTTCCAGTGATCAATAGGGTTGGGCATTGAGCATCGATTGGAACCAGGAGAAAACGTTTTTCACGGAATCGTTCAACGTTTTTTATTTCGATTCCTAGTTTAGATTCCTAGAATGCCGACCGGAAAAGGACTCCGCGGCCGATCTCCGTGAAAAATAAACGTGATCTGCAAATTGTGATCAAGGCTTTTCAGAGCTGATCACACCAGCTGTCTGTGTGCAGCACCGAGCCCCCCTCTCCCAACCCGGCGCGCAACGGCCAAATATAAACAAACGCATCTGTCGAACTTTTACTCCATAATGTAAACTTTAACTCCTGCAGCGTAGAGGAAACTTGTTAAAATACATCAGCACAGTGGATTTAATAGAAGCTTTAAAGAACTAACTCTGGACGGTGTGAGGTGAGTTTGTCTCACTGCAGAAATAAAAACACACACGGAGCGTCAGCAGTCAGACGCAGCCGCTCACCAACACTCGTGTGTGTGTGTGTGTGTGTGTGTGAGCGCGTGAGCGTCTGAAGGCTGATCAATAACCTGTAGAATAATTAAAGCTTTCTCTGTGGTGGACCACTCCGCTTCTGCCACAATAAATAATAATAATAATAATAATAATAATAATAATAATAATAAATCACACACAAAGTTGTGAACATTTTAATTTCCTTTTTGAACTATTTCTGTTGAGAGTTTTAATGTTTAAAATCTGTTAAGATTGTTACTGACAGCAGCTACGTCTAAGTTTCACTTCCTGTTCTGACTGAACGCTGCTGCAGCGTGGAGGCGTAGCTCTCAGTCATCCTGGACATGATCATCCTGAGAGTTGTAGCTGAAAACAGCTGCATGTTTCTGGATGTGTTGGAGACATTTAGCCTCTCATCCCAGAGGCTTCTTCCAGACTTTGGTTGTGGTCAGAAACAAACACACTGGTTGTGCTGCAAGTCTTTTTCTTTTTTTCTTCAAAACATGTTTTTGACTAAATGAAGGTGATGTTGTTGTTCATAGAATTAAAATTCATGTTGAAGTTAAAGAGCAAGTCACCCCCAAATCAACTTTTTTCCCTGATAAACTATATAAATGCACGTCTAATTTCATCAAGTAGGACCTGTGGTTAGCTGGCTCATGTAAAGCATGTCATGTTTTGAATGAATCCGAATCGGGCATCGATAGGAATCGGAATCAGAATCGTAATCGTAATCGTTCAAAATCAAACGATGCCCAATCCTAGTGATCAAAAAAAAACTTTTTTGCATCCATTTTAAAATTTTTGATTTAATTGAATACAATAGTCAAATTGATAAAAGTACCTGCCCCTGTTGTTACCGCAACCAGTATATACGGTAAGGATATCATCACCTGAGTTTGCTAATGTTTTGTTTGGCAAAATTAACAGTAGTGGTAGAGGGCTAATGCTAATTAAACATCAGCTTGTTTTAACAACTAGCATTATTCTGGTTCCTTGAATGTTTCAAAAACTGCCGGGGAAGCTAACAGCTAGCAGAAGAGCTAACTGTCCAGCCATAGCAGGCTATATCAGAATTGGATGAGTGGTGTCGATAGAAGAACACGAGTGAATGATTTGACAACTTCAGCTTCTGTCTACTAAAATATTAAGATATTAAGTCTTTTGTGGGGAAAATATTGATGTGGGCTGCTATTAGAGATGGGTGGGCTGAACTTACTCTGAACTACAGTGGCCCAAGAAGTGCAACAAAATATCCAGATTTCCCTTAAATTAAACCATTGTAAATGGCTAAATTCAAATGAATCCACCAAATCCATGTATCGCCCAGCCCTACCAGTGTTCAGTGGAAATTATTCAAATCTTTTTCCCATTAATGTGATCTTATCCACAAGTTTGGTTCGTTCAAAGAACAAAAAATAAAACTTCTGATTAGATGAAACACCCACCTTTAACATGTAGAAACAACATGCATTCTTTATTAAAGCAAATGCTCTTAAGTGTTTGTTTGGGGGTGGGTGCACTTAAGTAGTTTTGGTCCAGTAGAGACCTTTCCAAAAGAATATTTAATCTTCATATTCTGTCTGCAGAAACGTAAGTGTTTTCTCTGTTTGTGTGGTGCTCTTGTTACCTCCAGTCTGAGTCCAGGATGCTGAATGGTGTTGAGAAGGACTGCCCTTCCTCCACTGACCCTCCACTGACCCGAAAGGAGTCTCTCAAGGTACACGTCACTTCCTTCCTTCAGACAGACGAAAGGGGATGATTTGTATTTTTCCCACTTAAAGGAGGTTATGGTGTAATTGTTATGCCTTCTTTTATTTCTGATTTGTACATGACATGTTGCATGTCTCAGATTAACGCTTGTTAGACTCTGCCACCACCTGGTGTTTGCTGATGATGACTCACTTATGATTTGTTCTTTATTTGCAGGTCCAAAAGCAGAATTATCGGCAAGAGAAGAAACGGGCAGCTAAGGAACTTTCTAGTGCACTTAAGGACCCCAGCGTTGTCATCATGGCTAATTGGCTCAAGGTCTGAGAATGTTGTCTGTTAAAAGAGCCTTTTCATTCACTCACAGATAATACTTGTACAGTCTCACAGACGGCCATTTTGAATTCATTTCCCATCTACTCGATGTGATTTCTTTAGATTCGAGGTTATTTAAAGAGTTGGACCAAGCTGTGGTGCGCCCTGAAACCTGGTGTACTTTTGATCTATAAGACTCCATCAGCAGATCACTGGGTGGGCACCATTCTTCTCAGTGCATGCAAGCTGATCGAGAGACCCTCCAAAAAAGACGGGTTCTGCTTCAAGCTCTATCACCCGCTGGACAAATCCATCTGGGCTGTCAAGGTCAGACACGAATGCTACTTTCTCATTCTGAGACCCACTCAACATCGGGATCTTTTAGTGTTTTGTATGATTGGATATGAAAATCTTATTTTCTTTTGAGATTTTAAAGAACAATAATAATTTGTATGGTTTAGATTTTTGTTTGTGCACTTGAATTCACATATTCATGCACATCTAAAGACAAATGAAGCAGCCAATTTAGCTAACATGCTTGTTTTTGGTTTAATACTTGCTAAAACGTTATTTACCAGCAGAGTTGGGCAAGTTACTTCAAAACTGTAATACATTATTTATTACTTGTTACCCTCATTTTAAAGTAATTCATTACATTACAATATTACTGATTTTAAAATGTAAGGCATTACACTACTTTTGCATTACTCTAAGTTACTTTCAACAAAACAACTTCAGTATGAGTTTGGTAATCTGATGCCCGTTGAACTCATGACACATCCGGTGGAAGGTGATGTGGTGTCTGAGCTAGGACTGCTGTTAAAAACAGTTCTTTAGAAGGATTGTTTATTAAATAAAAGCAAAAACAATCTGTACTCTCAGCAACAAAAATGTGTATTGGGGATAAATCTACCTACTTTTTTTCTTTTCAAGCACTTTGTTTTCTTGATTTTATTATTTCCTGCCCTTTCTCTCTCTAACCTCCCTGCATGCTGCATCTTTTCTCAGTCTTCCAGAAAAAAACGTTTCCTAGACTTCCTACTTTCTATCAGCCAAAGGGATCTTCACATGCTCCAGCAGCAATGAGTTGAAATCACCGGGGCACAGATTATGAACTCAGCTGAGGCAAAGCACGTCAGAAAAGCACAAAATACCAGAGAATCTGTGCTGATATTAACGATCGCAAGTGAATAATTTTGTTTTAGTGGAGCGATTTTGTGAATGTTACAGCGGCCGCGTGCAGGACACAGCTGGAGTAGTTGAGCCGTTACCGCTGCGTCCTCTCTGCCCGCAAAGCTGAGTCCATAAATGACGTAATATATGCAGATACTGGAGTAATATGTGCAGATACTGGATCTTTTTTCAGGTTTCCCACAATTAGAATTTTTAAGAAACTCATCTTGATTCTGGGTTTAAAAATGCATTGTAATTACTACGTCACTGACAATTGTACAGAGTAAATATTACCATTTTCTTTCCCTGTAATGCCTTACATTATTACCACATTACAGCAAAAAGTAATGCATTACAGTAATTAATTACTTTAGTACCACATTACTCCCAACACTGTTTACCAGTAAAACCATTGTTTCTTCTGGAGCGCTTAAGGAACTAATAGCCTGTTGCAAACAATTTGTTCCATGTTTTTCCCTTGTTGTCTGGATTTGTGTTAAAAAAAATACTAAACGTACTGAAAGTTTAACAAACATAAAACTTTATTTTTGTGCAGATAAATTATTCTGGTGGTGCAACAAAAGGTGAATCACTGTTTTATGTGCTCAGGGTCCCAAAGGAGAGAATGTGGGTTCCATCACGCAGCCTTTACCTAGCAACTACCTGATCTTCAGAGCTGCATCCGAGTCTGATGGTGAGGTTTTTGTGCTTTTGTTTGACTTTGATTGTAAGGTTGTGTCTGTAGTTCTAATTGACCCTTTTTTCTTTCTAAAATAAAAATAAAAACGTCTTAAGGACGGTGCTGGATGGATGCTTTAGAGATAGCTCTCAGCTGCTCTAGCCTGTACAAGCTGACAGCCAAAGCTGGGAAAGAGGGAGACATCAGTATGTCCTCAGAGTCCTCGCATTTACTCCACCTGCTGCAGACCTCTCCACTCACCGAAACGGAGCTGCTACAGTGAGTAAAATACAAACATTAATATGTTTTTTGTATCAACTGTTCCCTCTTGTCATAACGTGACGAGGACCGGTGGGATTTGTCTCAAACACACATGCAGTCAAAATCGACCAGATGGTGAGCCTCAAACATACTCTGCTGGCTGTCGGCCTAAAGTGGCAGCTTAATTATTATTAATCATTCTGATGAGTGAAAAAAATTAGCATTTTGTCTGTTTAGCTAGTTATATTTGTTTTTATTTGATCTCGTTTACCGCCTTGTTTATGGAAGGGAGAAGATGATTGTGCATACATTATACAGCATCACTTTGTGACCGTTTTCCCAAAACATTTTAAATCATTTCTCGTGCTTCGCTTTTTATCTGATTTACTTCTGTCCACTCAGGTTGATTCTTGTCAACCAGAAAAAGTGAAATGCTGAGTTCTAGTTCTCGTTAAACCTTCCTGATAATTTAGCTAAAACTGTTCCTACATGGTGGTTCCGTAGCACACACGGCCACATGCCTACAGGAAACACTGCAATGACATTTTGGTACATTTCGGCCATGTCTAAGTAAGTGACTAACTTACTTAACACGGATCTCATTAATGTAAAGGTTTGTTTTTGTCAGCTGACAACGGTCAGGACCGTGTCCTGCTGCTTACACAAAAGGAAAGGTTGAGTTTCCTTCCTTCAAGTATCCCACAAATCCATTTTGTAGGTAGGGACTGAAAAAAGAAAAAACTCAATGAATGCTAATAATTCACTTTCTAATGCTCTGTGATGATTAACATCTTTGCCCTTAAGCAAGGCAGCTAGTAACCTTTAGGTGGTGAAGACGGCATCTCTGTTAAACTGTTGATCTGGAGGAAACAACGTTTGTGAACTGGAATCCTATCTGGGAAACTTTCTGTTAAACTAAAACTTCAAATCTCAGAAAGTTTTATAAAGTTGAATGTAATAAGTAAATATTTTAAAAGCTCATTTCTCTTCTGCAATTGTTTTTAGGGATTATTTTGTAATTTGTTGAAATTCTTTGGCTTCATGATTCAAAGTTTGGTTATTTTTAGAGATGCATTCAAATAAATCATTAGCTAGTTGCAGGGGTGGCCCACCCTGCTCCTGAAGAGCAACCATCCTGCACATTGTAAGGTTCTCTGCTTCTACACACCTGATTTAAATGAGTGGCTGATTAACAGGCTCCTGCAGGGCTTGGGGAGAAGCTGATCAGGTGATCTAACCACTGAATCAGGTGTGTTGGAGCAGAGGAACGACTAAAACATGTTGGATTGTGGAACTGAAGGCCTGGGATTGGATTAATCTGAAGAGCTTTGGCTTTTTTGGTCAGTGAACTCTTCTTTGGCAAGCACCAAAAAGGAAAGAATCATCTGTCATTTGTTCCGGTCCATGTTCATCCATACTGACATTGGCTAAAATCATAATGCCTGTGTCGGCCCTCATAACCAGAGTCTGTGCACCTCTAGGGTTTTGTACACGTCATCCATGTTGTTTACAAAGCCAGCTTCCTTCCGCTCCTCACCCTCCTCCTTTTACCTACTTCATGGCTGAACCCTCCTCCTGCCCATCCTTCCCAGCAGCCCCTCCTGCCCTGACCCTGTCAGCCAATCATAGCACTCTGTTCATTCACATGACTGACAAGGGAGCAGGAAGATGGAGAACACCACCCTAAAAGCAGCCATTGCAAGCACACACACTTTTGGCACACAGACAGAAATCTTCACACACATCGAGGAAGCAGGTAAATCACCATCAGAGAAGTCTTTAGTCTCAAAATACACAAGGAAGAAGACCGAGAGAAGCGGCATCTGATTTTGCTGATTGTTTTGTTGATGCCTGAAGAAGAGTGTGTGTGTGTGCGCGCACGCGTGTGTGTCTGTGTGTGTGTTGTTGGTCATGAAGGTAAGTAGCTTCTGCCTTAACAGATTGTGCGTTTGTTAATCATTCAGCGGGAATGCAGTTCTTCAGGTCTGGAGAGCCCACCGGGACTTTTGAAACTTAGAGTTGTATGGAGCAGCATGAGCCGCTGTCCCAGCTACGACCCCGAGGATCCAGTTTGACATGAACATGTTATACACTTGCTAAAGTTTTTTGTCTGTAAGGATTCACTTTGGAAAATGTCTGTAGAAAGTCCCCCTAAGACTTTTTCTTTTTCACTTCATCACTTTCATTTCTCCTTATTGTGGCTTTCTACAGCTTCCTTTGTTTTCCTCTGGTTTGCTCTTGTCATCTGTAGACTGATCAGGTCTAATTAGATTATTTTTTGTGCATTTGTGTTCAGATCTTATTACTATGAATGTTTTTCCCTGCGCAGACGCGGGTTTAATGTATAAAACAATCCTACATCCTAAAGCCAGGTGTATTAATGATAGTAATATTTACAGTTTATTGGTTCTTTGACCCATAGATGTCAGAAGGCAGCTAATGTAAACCTTCTGAATTTCTCAATCTGTTTGTCTGGACTCCTGTTAGGAAACTGGAGCTTATTACAGCGGAGTTCATGTTGAGTTCAGAATATTTATGGCTGCTGTCTAAGTTGAGATTTATCAGACAGAATTTGGCAAAAATACTTAAGTTTAACTTATTTATTTGTTTTTAGCCCAAATACAGATAAGCTCTTTTTTAATATTTGTTTAAAGGTGCATTATGTAGAAATGAAGTAAAAAATGACATCCTGTGTTAAAATTTGGTTACTGCAACCAATTTAAACAACTCTGGAGCTTTTTGCCAGCCTTGTCAGATTACAGTTGTCGGCGCTGCAGTATTAGCTCGCAGGAGACACGGCAACCCCACACTCACTGATGGTAAACGGTAGTTACCATCAGTAGTTACGTCCCTCCTTCCTTTGATTTGAAAGGAGAAAAACTGACAATCCCTGCAGCTAGCGGGGTATGAAATATGTACAACCTTTCTTCCAAAATTACTGAAACATTAAACTCTTATGGGATTTTCTCCCTGTAAAATGTTCACTATATTCTGACATACTTCACCTTTAAAACTCTGTTTTTATTAGGTTGAAAGAGGCAGCTCTGCTTGGGAATCATCACATGGAGCAAGACGCTTTCTCCGACAAATCGGAGCGCGAAACCCACGATGACTGGGACACGACGACCAATGAGAACGGTGGAAGGCTGACAGAGGAGAGCGACGTGGAGCCTTCAGACGAGATGCCCCCTGGGCCACGAGCTACCACCTACGTTGAGCAGAGCAGCGAGGAGATGGCTGAGGTAAACGGAGCTCCGTTTGGTGTCAGGATGGGTTCTCGTTGCCTTTAAGGATGCAGATCAAGCCCCTCTTCTGTGGTAACGTTCCTACAGGCTGGAGAAGCATCTCAGGTGGAGACTGTGTCACATGAGAACAAAGGCCTGATATGGGGTCTGCTGAAGCAGCTGCGAGCAGAAATGGACCTGTCGAAGGTGGTGCTGCCGACGTTCATCCTGGAGCCACGCTCCTTCCTGGACAAGCTGTCGGACTATTACTACCACGCTGATCTGCTTTCACAGTTGGTCATTTAAAACAAAAGTCACTGACAAGTGTGTGCTGTATAGGTATTGTCATGTTTTCTCCTGGTGTTTCTGCTCCTTCTCCCCAGGGCTTCGCTAGAAGAAAGTGCATACGGACGGATTAAGCAGGTGCTGAGGTGGTACCTGTCCGGCTTCTACAAGAAGCCCAAAGTAAGATGTTCCTTATGAAAATAGAAATGTTTTACCAGCGATGCACTGAACATCATTAAATGTGACTCTTTGGCTCTTGATGAGCCGATTGAAATTAAATGTTAAATATTATTCCTGGTTCTGAGTCAAGCTCTGCTGCTTGCTTGCTTCATTTTGCTGGACTATTTTCAGCTAGTTTTGGGCTCATTTCCAAAATAGTGTTCAGTCATGTTTTATGAGAAGGCTGCTTGGCTGATGTTCTTTTTGCTGTGGTGAGAATATCTGGAGACTTTTTTTCTACTTGTTGATTTACAACCTCTGTGGCAGCAGCAGCAGCAGCGTGGAGGAGAAAACACCTCTAGATCAATCGGGCTTTACTCAGCAGTTTATGCTGGATACTGTTAATAGGATTCACATCCAGGGATTCATGAGCATAAATTACCTTATTAAAATGTCTGAATACCCTGAAAACTCAAAATCTCCTGGGCCATGCAACAGCAATGCTAGCTGTGAGGGAACCCGGACTGAATCGATACTCGTGTTTGTTTCCAGGGTCTGAAAAAGCCGTACAACCCGATCTTGGGGGAGACATTTCGCTGCTGCTGGCTTCATCCTCAGACTGACAGTTGCACCTTCTACATAGCTGAGCAGGTTGAAACGGTTTCAGAGCCAACTGCTTCCTTGTGTGGAACACAGCAAACACTTATGTTTCTCACTCTGTCATTTCCAGGTGTCTCACCATCCGCCCATCTCTGCCTTTTACGTCTGCAACAGGAAGGATGGGTTTTGCATCAGTGGAAGCATCCTGGCCAAGTCCAGGTTTTATGGTAGCTAATTATGCTAACACATTCACTGCTGAAGTGTGTCGGTGCATTACCAAAAAAACTGATCTTCTGTTTTCTTCTTTAGGCAACTCTCTGTCCGCGATTCTAGATGGCAAAGCCAGGCTGTTGTTCCTGAGCAGAGACGAGGAGTACATCATCACCATGCCCTACGCTCACTGCAAAGGTAACAAGTCTACAACATTTATGGGCTTCACCAAAATGGCATAATTGACTCTTAAGAGATTATTCAGGTAGGTTTTGTCTTACCTCCTGAATAACAAACATTCCCACCACTTCAAAAGGCTACAATCACAAGCAACTCAAGTGAAGGTGGCAGAATAAAGGCAAAACGCACCACCAGCGTACAATACGCCGTCGTCGTCGTCTTCCTCCGCTTATCCGGGTCCGGTTCGCGGGGGCAGCATCCCAACTAGGGAGCTCCAGACCGTCCTCTCCCCGGCCACCTCCACCAACTCCTCCGGCAGGACCCCAAGGCGTTCCCAGACCAGATTGGAGATGTAACCTCTCCAACGTGTCCTGGGTCGACCCGGGGGCCTCCTGCCGGCAGGACATGCCCGAAACACCTCCCCAGGGAGGCATTCAGGAGGCATCCTGACCAGATGCCCAAACCACCTCAACTGGCTCCTTTCGATCCGGAGGAGCAGCGGTTCTACTCCGAGTCCCTCCCGAATGTCCGAGCTTCTCACCTATCTCTAAGGCTGAGCCCGGCCACCCTACGGAGGAAACTCATTTCGGTCGCTTGTATCCGCGATCTCGTTCTTTCGGTCATTACCCAAAGCTCATGACCATAGGTGAGGATTGGGACGTAGATCGACCGTTAAATCGAGAGCCTTGCTTTCTGGCTCAGCTCCCTCTTCACCACGACAGATTGGCTCAGCGTCCACATCACTGCAGACGCCAAACCAATCCGCCTGTCGATCTCCCGATCCCTCCTACCCTCACTCGTGAACAAGACCCCGAGATACTTAAACTCCTCCACTTGAGGTAGGACCTCTCTCCCGACCCGGAGTTGGCAAGCCACCCTTTTCCGGTCAAGAACCATGGTCTCAGATTTGGAGGTGCTGATCCTCATCCCAGCTGCTTCACATTCGGCCGTGAACCTACCCAGCAAGAGCTGAAGGTCAGAGCTGGATGAAGCTAGGAGGACCACATCATCCACAAAAAGCAGAGATGAGATTCTCCTGCCACCAAACTCGACACACTCCACACCACGGCTGTGCCTAGAAATTCTGTCCATAAAGGTAATGAACAGAACCTGTGACAAAGGGCAGCCCTGGCAGAGTCCAACCCTCACTGGGAACAGGTCCGACTTACTACGGGCTACGCGGACCAAACTCACGCTCCTCTGGTAAAGGGACTGAATGGCCCTTAACAGAAAGCCACCCGCCCCATACTCCTGGAGCGTCCCCCACAGGGTGCCCCTGGGGACACGGTCATAAGCCTTCTCCAAATCCACAAAACACGTGTGGATTAGTTGGGCAAACTCCCATGCCCCCTCCATCACCCTTGCAAGGGTATAGAGCTGGTCCACAGTTCCACAGTCAGGACGAAAACCACATTGCTCCTCCTCAATCTGAGATTCAACTATTGATCGGACCCTCCTCTCCAGTACCTTGGAGTAGACCTTTCCAGGGAGGCTGAGGAGTGTGATCCCCCTATAGTTGGAACATACCCTCAGGTCACCCTTCTTAAAGATGGGGACCACCACCCCGGTCTGCCACTCCACAGGAACTGCCCTCGATGACCACGCAATGTTGCAGAGACGTGTCAACCATGACTGCCCTACAACATCCATAGCCTTGAGATACCCAGGACTAATCTCATCCGCCCCTGGTGCTCCGCCGCTGTGTAGTTGTTTGACTACCTCAGCAACTTCTGCCCCCGAGATTGGACAGTCCATCCCCAGGTCTCCTGGCTCTGGTTCCTCCTCGGAATGCGTGTAGGTGGGATTGAGGAGCTCCTCAAAGTATTCCTTCCACTGTCTGACTATAGCCCCAGTTGACGTCAGCAGCTCCCCATCCCCACTGTAAACGGTGTGAGCGAGATGCTGCCTCCCTCTCCTGAGGCGCCGGACAGTTTGCCAGAACCTCTTTAAAGCCGATCGATAGTCTTTCTCCATGGCCTCACCAAACTCCTCCCACTCCCGAGATTTTGCCTTGGCAACTGCCACTGCTGCACCCCGCTTGGCTATCCGGTACCTGTCTGCTGCCTCCGGAGACCCACAGACCAGCCACGCCCTGTAGGCCTCCTTCTTCAGCCTGACGGCTCCCCGAACCTCTGGTGTCCACCAGTGGGTACGGGGGTTGCCACCACGACTGGCACCGGCCACCTTGCGACCACAGCTAGCAACAGCCACCTCAACAATCGCAGAGTGGAACAAGGCCCACTCGGAGTCAATGTCCCCCACTGCTCTCGGGACGCGGTCACAGCTCTGCCGGAGGTGGGAGTTGAAGACCGTCTTAACAGGTTCTTCTGCCAGGCGTTCCCAGCAGACCCTCACTATGCGTTTGGGTCTGCCAGGTCTACGCGGCATCTTCCCCTGCCATCTGATCCAACTCACCACCAGGTGGTGATCAGTTGACAACTTCGCTCCTCTATTCACTCGGGTGTCCAAAACATACGGCCGCAGGTCAGGTGATACTACAAAGTCTATCATCGACCTGCGACCTAGGCTGCCCTGGTACCAAGTGTACCGATGGGCATCCTTATGTTCGAACGTGGTGTTCGTTATGGCCAAACTGCGGCTTGCACAGAAGTCCAATAACGAAACACCACTCGAGTTCAGATCAGGCGGGCCGTTCCTCCCAATCACACCCCTCCGGGTCATGCTATCATTGCCCACGTGAGCATTGAAGTCCCCCAGCAGGACAATGGAGTCCCCTGATGGAGCACTATCTAGCACTCGTCCCAGGGACTCCAAAAAGGGTGGGTACTCTGAACTGATATTTGGCCCATAAGCACAAACAGTCAGGACCCGTTCCCCGACCCGAAGGCACAGGGAAGCTACCCTCTCGTCCCCCGGGGTAAACCCCAGCACACAGGCAGAGAGTCTTGGGGCTAACAAAAAGCCAACCCCAGCCCTCCGCCTCTCACCCGGAGCAACTCCAGCAAAGGAGAGTGTCCGACCCCTCTCAAGGACTTGGGTTCCAGAGCCAATGCTATGTGTTGAGGTGAGTTCGCCTATATCTAGCCGGTACCGCTGAACCTCTGCCACAAGCTCCTGCTCCTTCCCCGCCAGCGAGGTGACGTTCCATGTCCCAAAAACCAGTTTCCTTGTCCGGGGATTGGACCGCCAAGGCTCCCGCCTCGGTCTGCCACCCGATCCACATTGCACCGAACCCTTCATGTTCCTCCTGCGGGTGGTGGGTCCACAGTTGGATGAGCCCATATATCTGATTCGGGCCGGGCCCCATGGGTTAAAGTCCGGCCACCAGGCGCCCACTCACGAGCCCCAACCCCAGGCCTGGCTACAGGGTGGGACCCCGGTAACCCTCCGGGCCGGGTACTCCGACTCCTTGATAGTTTATCCGTGAAAGATCCTCAACCGTTCTTTGTCTCACCTTTCACCTAAGACCAATTTGTCATGGGAGACCCTACCAGGGGCACAAAGTGCCCCAGACAACATAGCTCCTAGGATCATTAGGGCACTCAAACTCCTCCACCACGATAAGGTGACGGTTCAAGGAGGAGTACAGTACGCACTTTACAATACGCACTTTTTAAAAATGGAAGATTTTTGTGACATCCATTAATGTCAGTTGTTTTAGTTGTTCTTAACACCCAAGGTCCCCTTGATTGGTGGTAGGAAGGGGTTGAATTGAAAATTGTTGGTCTGATTTCTGCAGGTATCCTATACGGCACTATGACCTTAGAGCTGGGAGGGAAAATTACCATCGAGTGTGAGAAAACCAAATGTCTTGCAGAGCTGGAGTTCAAACTGAAGGTATTTTATTGCAAACAATTCAAAACATCTTGTTTTGTTGTTGTTGTTTGACTCTTCTATCGACTCCAGCCATTCCTCGGAGGCTCCGCCTCCGTAAATCTGATCTGCGGGAAGATTCTGGTGGGAGATGAGCTAATGGCCACTGTAGATGGGCACTGGGTAAGATCTGGTGTTGATTCGTCTTGTAGTCTGGCATCACTCTCTGCTGCTGTTTCAGCAGCAGTCATTATGTAATTCTCCTTGGTAATTAGAAGCAGATTCAGTAATTATAGGGTGGAGAGCAGCAGCTAGACACGGCACGTAGAAAACTATTTAAAGGCTTTCATAGTGGGCTAAAAATAAAACAGCTGGCAAAATGTTTTACTGAAGACATTTTAGAGGAGGCTGTCAGTGTAGCGACTAAGAAACTTAAAGGATTTTTCCTTCGATAATCAGGACAGCGAGGTGTTTCTCCACGAGAAGCGCTCTGGCCAGCAGGAAACTTTGTGGAACCCGACTCCAGAGGTCCGCAGCCGGCGCCTCAAACGACAGGTGGTCCAGTTGGACCAGCAGGGAGAATTTGAGTCTGAAAGGTCAAAAACACACTGATTTACATGCGACCCGGTGTTAGACCAGGTTAAACAGCAAACCGGGTTACCTTTTACAGACTGTGGCAGCACGTGACCAGAGCCATCATGGAACAGGACCAACAGCAGGCGACCAAAGAGAAGTTCATCCTGGAGGACGCTCAGCGGAAAGAGGTCAGAGAGAGGGGAGACAAACTCTGGATCCCACAGCTGTTCCAGCAGGACCCGGTCACCTCCGAGTGGACCTACAAACACCTGGAGTATGAACACACACACTTTAATTCATGTGGAATGAAGCACGCCTAAATCGTTTGTTTTGCAGCATTCGGCCGTGGGACGCAGATACGTGTCTCGTACAGTTTGAGAAGGACGGTGTGATTCAGACACATGAAAGAAGCCAGAGACGAGCCAACGGGGTGTCCTACCACCACAGCTGGACCAGCCCGCACAAGGTGTTGGTTTCAGACTTATCCACATAATAGTTCAACCTTTTTGTATTTGCTGTTTAAACTTTTTTTTGTTTGCAGGTGAACGGGAAGCACCGGAAAACGAGCAGCCAACCGTCCACCTGCAGCCAGAACACAGAGAGCAGCTCCACCCCAGAGCCAACCCACGAGTCCTCGGACAACGAAGGTAAGAGCTTGCATGCAAAAGCAGTTTGTAACCGAACTCATCTTTACACTGATGGGGCTTTAAAATGTTAGGAACTGCATCTTTTTATCCAGACTTTTCAAACCAGTGTGCTCGCTGCAACAAAGAGAAGAAGGACTTGGCTCTGATTGAAGCCAACATCATGTCTATGCAGAGGACACTGAAAGATATTCAGAGGTGAAAAAGATCAAGTTAATGTAACGAGGACATGGAAGACGTTTTCAGGACTTTCTGCTGACGTGTCCAACACTGTCTCCTCTGTAGGAATGTGGGGGCTCTAAGTCGTCAGATGTCTCATCAGCGGGCAGCGAATGACAGTACGTCGTTAACGGCTCGCCACTGCCTCACCCTCTGCATTCTCCTCGTTTCTCAGCTCCTGCTGAACTACGTCTTCACCTGAGCCAACTCCCCAGTGGGGGGTGAGGAGTTTCCCCTCCACTGCTGATCTGATCTGCAGAGGGACGAAGACCTCAGATCAGCGGGGACATTAAAGCAATAAACACAGCCACAGCCTGTCATCTGCAGAGGGGAAGGGCACCACCTAGTGTAGCCAGACTGCATCAGCACCCACGCACTTTGGACAAGAGAGGGGAAACTTATCGTCTCATGACGATTTAACTGAAAGAAAGACGAGGAGGTTTCACCATTCCTTTGTGTCTTTTTCTTTTAAATATACATAATTCCCTGCAATACTGTTCATCTATTGGTGTGTGTTATTCACCGTAGGCCCTATGGGCGCTGACATCACGGCCTGGACTCCTCTTCCTCCTCTGGGCCTTAACACTGAAGCCAAAAAGAAGAAATCCACCAGAAACACAAACCAAGAAGGAAAATCTTCAAACAGTGCAATTGTTGCTTTGTATCGATGTTCACTCACATCCTCTCTGTCTCCACCAAAACAGTATTTATAATCTGAAAGGACAAAGAGTATTTGTTTACAGAAAAGAGGAAGGAGACAGGGCCGAGAGCCAAACAGAGTGTCTTTGTACTCGTGTGCCTGTAGTGCGGTTTTAAAAAGAGAGTAGCCCTGCTGGGGTCTAGACCAGGAAACTAGTGTCACTAATCAGTCACGTGAAGGAAGGAGGCGATTAAATATGAGTAAGAGATTTCTGTCAACTCGGTCTCCATGTTAGTGATGGTCCTAGATGTGAACAGTGAAAAAAGGTTTTAATTCTATGTGTAAATATGAGTATTTCAGAGAGATTTGAATGTATTTATGGGATTCACCTTCACGCTCCAGAGGAGCACATGTATGAACCTCCTTACGTCTGATTGTTGGTCCAATCACCAGAACCCTCTGAGCCACCTGGAAGAATCTGACAACAGCACAAACAGGAACTCTGAATGGTTTTTGTTTTTTATACCTATGTTTGTTTCTACTTTGCTGCCATGTTGTGGGGATTCTACATGCCAGATGTTTCATCACAAAACAAAAACAGCAGGACTTGTTGATGCGTAATGTTTTCATTCATGCCTGTCGCACTACAGTAAAGCGTTTTACCCCCGGGAATGCGTGGAAAGTGTCATTTACAAGCAAGCAATAGCTAGCCTTTACCACTAGAGGGCGGCACTAATCTGAGTAAACTAAACTAGTGACTTACATGTCACAAATATTAAAGGTGATGGTTTAAAACATTTTATTTTACTTTTCAGCTTTTGACCTATAAAGCAAGTCTCTTGTGATTCCAACTAGGGCTAAAAAGTAATTTAACAAAGAGCCGACCTTTTTATCTTTTACTGATTTCAGAAATTATTCATTACATGTGATCATTATCTAAATGTGTGCATTTAAATTAAGTTATAATTTGAATGAAAGTCATATCTAGAATGAATCCCAATATGTAAAGTTAGATCTAAATATATAATAAATCTTCTAAATTTCAATGTGTTCAGCAATGTCAAAAGATTTTAAATCACAACATTTTAAATATGATTTTCCAATAAAGCCTATGCCAATATAGCGTCAGATTTTCATGGAAATCTAACATAATAAAAGCATTTTAATGGTAGGATTGTGTTTCCATACAGCTCATTCATCACAGTGAAGTCTAAGTCTGTTCAGGGGAACTGACAAATAAAAATGCCTAATAATGTTATAAGGGATCTCTTCACCTCGCTCTAAACTGTTATGTCACATAAATATTTAGTCCAAGACAAACATCTATTCATGAAGGTGTTAGTTTGTAAAATTAAAAACTTACCCGGAATATCACCGGACTTTGTTGGATTGGGTTTTCTGAAAACGTGGAAGATTCCTGATTTAGAGATTGTGTTTTTAAGGACTTCTTTTCTCATCCCGTCTCTAAAAGGATATAAAAATAAAACTGATGATCACTCTGATCAGATAATGCACTAACAGCATTCAAAGATAACGGTCTTATCTGTACGATACAGAAGTTTAACCTGTTGCATTATTTAAAAAGTAAAAGTGTTTAATCAACCATTAAATCCTCAGATCTGCCAGTTTCCCTCATCTTACTCAGAAGCATTGGAACATTTTATCTTATAATTAAAAACGGAGACAAAAAGCTTAATCTAAAACAAACCGAAACTTTTGTCCTTCTGCTACAGGATGATTGTTGTCATCAGCTGTGAAGAGAAACTTAATGCATCAGATTCCTCCCTTGTTGAAGTATGAGGGAAAACAAACTAAACCACAGTGTTTCAGAAGAAACTTCAGCTACCTGACAAAAGAATTTACGCAGGATTAAAAAGCTTCAGCAGGAAGTTTCAGACTGAGAAGCTGAACCAAAGATCTGGATATTTTTTAAATAAATCATTAAACCAATGTTTATGTAATTTATAGTAAAACCAGCCAATTAATATGGAAATTCCAATTCTTGGTGTTTTCTATGCAAACCTTTCAGGGACCTCAGGTATGTTCTGCTGGTGTTGGATGAAGGGCAGCAGGAATCGGGCTGGGCCAGACCGATGCACGAGGCAGGTGGAGACAGAGGACTGGTCTTGACTCGTACTCTACACGGAGACAGGAAGCAGCTCTGGTAACCTGAGATGAGGCTGCACTTGTAATGTGTCAATCTGGAGCTGTGAGAGATCAGATGAGGTCAAATTAACTGGTGAAGAATATCAACTCTAGTTCTGCGGGGTGGCGAAGACCACCAGCAGGAATTATATTTTCTAGAATCCAAAGAGGAGCAGATTTTCTAAATTATGGGACATTTTCAGCACCAAGACATTCATCTAATGCAGTATTGTAAAATCCTACATTTCTATCATCTGAAAGCTCTTTTTTATATTTGATCAGACACAGACCCCAGACATAATAAAACCAAACACCCACATGTTCTTTAGTTCATCTAAACTGACTCCTTCAGTTCAAAGGATGATTCATAAAGTGTCACTATAAAAGAAATGCAAACACCTGCAATGCCAGCTCAGATCTGTCCACCTGGTTGTTGCCGTGCCAACCGCCTACATTGCTTGACTTACAGGGAAAAGGATGTGGGATGGTCTTCATGTGCAGACAGGTAGACCGGACCTGTTGTAACTCAGAAGACTGTCAGTTCAGATCAGGTTTGAGGTGTTGGTGGAGCAGCTGCATCTGTTGAGACAAGATGAAAGACCAAGAGAAACTAAACAATTAACATGATGGAGGAGGTGTTGAAGAATAGTTACTAAACGGAAACACTTCCGGTCAATTATTTCAGTCTCTCTTTATTTAGCTGAACACAATTGAAACCTTATTTAAGTGTTGAACACAATGGTTGTGTGGCATCAAAGTGCTAAACCCAGTTAGCTACAGCGCTAACAAAGTCCGTATTTAATTTACTTTTAATTAACCAGGAGGGGAATTGACACCATCCAGTGGTGAAAAGCTGGAACTACACGCGGATTGCAAACAGAACATTTTTTGCGGCCTTATAAAGCTGGCAACATTTTTTGTTTTCTTGGGAAAAGCAGTTTGAAGGAGGAAGGGTGTAAGGATAAATTGTAACAAACTAAATTTGTGAAGCTAAGCTAAAAAAGTTAGAAATACTTCCTTTAAATTATTGGAAAATAAAACTGTGGCATTTTGGTCAGCAAAAGGGAAACTCAGTCACCAACACTATTTTTCTCTTTATAGGTAGCTAAAACCCCAATTAAACTGTTTTAATGTAGCTGTGTTAAGCAATGATTGTTTAGTCAAAGTGCTACATCCAACTAGCTAAAAAGCTACAACATTTCAAATGTAATAGGAACGAAGGGGAAATTTGTCGCCCTCCAGTGGCAATAATTTGGAATTACACTTAGGTTCTTAAATTTAATTTGATAATTAAATTCAAGTTTATTCAGACAAATTAAGAGTAGCAAAGAATTGCATTTTAATTATTTTTTAAGAATTTTATTCATTCATTTATGCTTTTCCTTAATAAAACAAAATATGGACCCAAATCAATGTCGAGTGTTTATTAAATGCAGTTGGTATTAGTCTTTGAAATAAGAACCATTAATAGTTTCATATCCAACATGATTAAAAACTATAAACTTATGCTAAACATTACCCTTCAGTGTCTTGTTCAGCCTCGCGAGCGCTGCCTGCAGTAACAGTTTTAGTCCGCCAGGGGGTGGAAAAATTGTTAAGCCGAACATTTAAAACTGTTCCCTTTACATCCAGCTGACCTAAATATTACAGGGAACTTTCCTGTCAGTGTTCCTGAGGGCCATTTCACCACTGCACACAACCATTGTGCTAACCACCGTTACATAAATATCATTTTATTTGTGTTTTTAGCTAAATGAAAAGAGAGTAAGACTTTTGCTAATGCCAAAACGCTGTAGCTTTTTTATTTTGAAATAATTTACAGGAAGTGTAACTATTGTAGCTTTTAAAGTTCAGTTCTGTATTCTTCTCCTCCTTGAAATGAATATTCACAAGAGGAAAAAAAAACATTAGGATTTTTTCTCCAGCTTTAATGCGATAAGGAAGTTATAACATTCTCCAAATGGTTTAACAGAACCAGAATTTAGCTTTTTGCCACTGAGGGGTATCAATACAAGCCTAACTTGTAGTGCTGTAGCTAGGGGAGTGTACAGTAGCGTGACACAGCATGTAGCTTTGTTTTTCAGAGTGAGGCTGTGGCGTGAGAGCGTGTGAAGACAGTCAAATACGTGCGTCTCACATTCGTTGCGTGAGAGTTGGACGCTTTGATTTGTGTGGCCAAAGTGCTAAAATGCAACTAGCTACAGCGCTACAAACTGAGTTTTTAATTGACTTTTAATGGGGGCGGGGGCGTCCTCCAGTGGTAATAAACTGAAACTACACTCTGGAAAATATCTTGGTCTCCTCAACTATAAAAACAGGGGAAAAAATCCTAATCTTTGTTGTTTTGTCCTCGGGAATCAGGAGACAATGCAGATTAAAAAGTTACAATATTTACTCAGCAGAAAAACTTTTTGTAGATTTTTTTAAAAAGCTAGGGCGTTTGTGGTTTTAACAAGTGCAGTTCCCAAGTTGCCATCTTGTTATTGAGCTAGATCAAAACTGTAACGGTGTTAGACATGATGGCTACTATGTGGAGTCAAAGTGCTAAACTGACGCCCTCCAGTGGTGACAAGTTGAAATTACACTCTAGGCTGTGGTTATTATTTAGAAGAGGGTGATATGTCGTCCTCCAGGGTCGATATTGTGGAACCGCGCTTTGGTTTTGTTATCCTCCATCTCAGTGAAGCTGAAAAATAAATTATTGATAGTTTATCCTTTTGGAAATTTTAATATGAGGAGGAGCAGAAGAAGAGGGAACAAAAAATTATGTACCCGATAGAAACGTTTTCCTGTAAATTATTTCAAAATAAGATGCTATGGGATGTTGTTTTAGCAACAAGGGAACTCGCACCAACGGTCATTTTCTCTTTTTACTTAGCTAAAACCCACAATTACAACTGCATTCATGAAAAGTGTTTAACACAGTATCTGTGTGGCATCAAGGTGTTAAACTGCAACTAGTTACAGCTCTTCAAACTGCATTATTGACTATTTGAACGAGTCGGGGAATAGACGCCATCCAGTGGCGACAAGCAGGAACTACACTCAGGGTTTGTTAACCGATTTGAAAAAGAAAATTTTAGCTTCTTCATCTGTATAAAAAACACAATTTTGTCCTCTTGGGACCTCTTAACACAAGAATACAGCTATAGCTATTGTATTTAAGAATTATTTATCTTTTTAATATGTTTACTAGAGATCATTTTGAGATGCCAAACAGTGTTTTGCGACCCAGAGTGTAGTGGATTTGCATTATATAGAAATTTGTACATTTTGTTTAAAATAAATTAGTAACAAAATAAACACCAAAACTAAAAATTATTTTTTCTTTTGCATTTTTTAAAACAATTTTTTTTTGTCATTCAGCATCAGAAAATTTGATTGAAATTTTGTATAATTGTTGAGTACTTTTGGTCCACTGCACTTTTCACATCCATCAAGTTGTTTTTATTCCTTTAAACAGGAAGGGGACATGACATCACAGACAGTGTTTGAGCTCACTGGCTACAGCCTTCAGACATACAC